AAAAAACAGTAACAAAGGCAACGATTTAAAGCACTTTAATTTTGGCATAGTTTGGCTTTGCATTCAAATTTCTTTTGGTAATTATTTCGTAATTATACAGTAAAATTGGGGCGAAGTTAACTTGGGGCCGAGTTGACTACTTGGGGCCGAGTTGACATGGGGCCAAGTTGACACGGGGCCGAGTTGACTTGGGGCCGAGTTTGATATGGGGCCGAGTTTGACATGGGGCCGAGTTTGACATGGGGCCGAGTTCACTTGGGGCCGAGTTCACTTGGGGCCGAGTTGACTTAAATATTAATGCAATACTGTCATTTTTCAAATAATTTCCATGACAAATTTTTGATTATTTCCTCTCTTTTGCAGTCTTTGAATTATCGTTTTATTTTTTTGCTGGTATTTCCCCAGACTGGAATTCATATTTCATACATGCCTGTGTTGTAGTTAAACACAACTCTTAATGCTTAAATAATTAAAAAAAAATTATTATTATTATTATTATTATTAAAAAAAAAATATATATATATATATTCTTTTTTTCTTATAACTGAAAATGTTAAATATTTGTTAGCAATTAGCAATTTCTTTTGTATGTTAATATAGAACTTAATTTTTATAGCTTTTAAAATCAAATTATACGTTTCAAATGAACTTTTATATGTCTTGATTTTTATTTTATTGTTGGTGCTGTTAATTACTAGGCCTAAGTTTTTTGTTTTTTTTCATATTTGTACACTCCAATGGGAAGCAAATACTCCAATTGTTGACGTAGATGATTGAGGAATTGAATACTGATTAATTGCATGTGTAAATGATAATTTAAAAGGAGGTAGAACATACTAGTACTGTACCGTAAAACTTTAAATTGAAGCCATGGGCTTCCTTCTTTTGCGAACTTTGAATGGGCTCCATTTCGAGGCTACTTTTGCAAAGTATTAAGAGGGGCTTCTTTTCAAAATGAAAGCAGTAATTTTTGTGAATTTGTACTATAAAACAATATAGACCACTGTAACATCCATCTGCATTATGAAGTGTATCTAAATTGAATTAAATCACCTAAACTAATGTAAACCAAGCTGGTTTTTAATTTATTTTGTTTTCTGAAATTCATGTACAGTGTTTGAACTGTACTATCTCGAAATGCTAATTTTTTGCGAACTAAAGAAGGGGCTTCAATTCGAGATAGGCTTCATCTCAAGATTAAGCCCACCGGGCTTCAATTCGAGGTTTTACAGTAAAGTGGATTTCCAGAAGAACATTTAACAAAGGAAATAAAAAGTAGTACACTATAGTATAGAGAATGTGTTTGAAATTATTGTCTCGCAGTTGGTCTTTGTCTAAATACAGTTGAATTCAGGGGTGGCGGCAGAATTTTACTGACGGCAGTGGGGGCGAGGTTCCGCTAGAGGATGTCCCCGACGAGAACAAAGTAAAAATGAGTTTATTTTCATTTCAATGCAAAAAAATTGGCGTTCCATATAATATCGCGAAAAACATCAAGTGGCGCAGCGCAAACCTAAAGCGGCGCAGTGCAAAACTAAAGTGGCGTAGTGCAACTCAAATGCATGTACCACCACTTGACTATTGCACTGCATCACTTGACTATTGCACTGCATCACTTGACTTTTGCACTGCGCCACTTGTGGTTTGTCCTTTTGGCGATATCACACCAAAAGTACAAACAGGTGCGTACCAGGGGTCTTGGGTAAGGGGAAGGGGGCAAAGGTAATAATTTTCCCGGTTAGTAATTTATGACCCGGTGTGATACCCCACCATTTCCCCCCCCCCCCAATATATAAAACAATACGATATAGGGCTTATCTTATTTATAATATAGGCCACACATGTGTGTTTGAAACTAAGTATAAGTATTTTCATCATGGTTTTATTTATTACAAACATATTCCTTCACCATCAATACACATTAAGGCCCTTCTTTTAGGTAAAACGATCTATCTTCTTTCTATTGGAATTGGGCCTATTTTGTGTTTAAATAACTTAGAAGGCATAGGAGGGCAAGCACAAGCATTAACCTTTAGTAATTTATTTATGGGGTTATAGCCACTTGTAATTAGTCCTTCAAAAGAACATAAAAGGCGTTCGTATCCAATGTGTGCTGTGCATCTATAGAACAACGTTCAAGTTTCAAAACACAGCATGCGTTCGATACAAACAACTTTTGCGTTCTTTTGAAGGACACGCTCCTTCGTGGCCAGGGATGGATTTAGGGGGGAGGGGGTGGCTCGGCACCGGCTCCCCTTTTG